ATCTACTACTCTTCTAAAGTTTGAATCGGAAGAGGTTTTATACGGAGTATATTCATACGTTTGAAGAAGAAAAACTACTATACACCACTTGAAAAGTTATGTAGTAATCTCAATTCATCGTATTTTAATTTCTATTCTTTATTTCTGCTTTTAGTTCGATTTTTATACAATAGTGGAAGATTTACGGAGTATTTTAGAAGCTCCATCAAGAAAAATTTCCGAGGTTCGTAAAGCACAACGGTTTATTCAAGAAGAGCAGGCCGGTTTCGTATTAGTGAGTTCTCTCCTTATATATATACTTTCATAGCTTCATGTTTATGGTTTATCTAGCTATCTATGGTTATACCTCATAAACATCTTATTATCATATACGAAGTATATCATGGTTATACCTCATAAACATCTTATTATCATATACGAAGTATATAGATCCATATTCATATTATATACTCCGTATATACATATATAAGTGAGAATTAGTGATGTAAATTCATATGGAAATAAGAGTTCAGATTTTAATAAAGGATCAGTATATTTAAAAATAATACTGATTAAATGTATGTTTAATTGTTTATCCTTTTTTTTCTTCATCTTTCTTTAGAGAAAATATATCTATAATTTTCTGATATGGAGGATCCCTATTCTTGGGCAACCATAGAGCATACTTCTTATAGTTTTGAATATATTCAAACATTTTCATACTTCTCAACATCTTATTTTCTTTTCAGATGAATTGATAAATTCCTGAAAAAATATACCTGCTGGGAAGATGATGATTTCACGGATTTGGAGCAAATTCGTGCTGATAACGTGTTACAATATGGAAGGAAATAAGCAGAAGATTAGGGAGAGAAATATAGTATGAACACTTAGTGATAGATTATATTATTGAGAGTGTGATAATGGTGTAACCATGGTGTGTTAATTACAATGAGAATGACTCCTATTTATAGGAGAAAGTGTGAGCTCAATGAGATTAGAAGATCATTGTGAGCCACACATTTATCACCTTGAAATCACAATTATGATTTCCTAATTATTTATGTAATGGTGATAATAATTCTTAATCAGGAATAATTAGAAGATGACTAATTCAATAATATTTCAACAATTCCCTAATAATAATAACACTAATAATACGGAGTAGTATACTCCGTATATTATAACTATAATTATCAACGGTCAATTGATATCTTTACGGAGTACTTTATTAGTTTGCTTGATTAGGACTGGATCTTAAATATTAGGGCTGAAATGGAACGCTTCTCATCCAGCGTTTATGTTCAGACTATTAAATAATATACTCCCGTTACCAAATTATCCTCCGATCCCCTACCTTTTGCTTCTCCGTTGGTCAACTCTTTCGTTGGAAAACATGTCTTACACAGTCAAGATCAGAGTGGATATCAACTACTCCCTCCATCCCTAATTTACCTCCCATTTTGACCCGGCACGGGGATTAAGATAGTTGGTTTTGTGTGGTGGAGAGTTGTGCAGAGGAGAGAGAAATGTGTAAGAATTGTTGTGAACCACAAATCCTTTGCCAAAAAGGGAAAGAGGAGATAATTTAGGGACGGACCAAAAAGGAAAGTTTGAAGATAATTTAGGGACGGAGGGAGTACAAAACTCCAGCGCGCGATCCATTATTCCTCTCCATTGCTGCAAGACCTTCTGGTGATGAGAGCAGCTGAGTCATTTGATGGTTTAATATAAATTTTGATGGTTTAATATAAATTTTGATGGTTTTATATATATATATATATATATAATATATATAAATTTATTTTGATGGTTTAATATAAATTTTGATGGTTCAATATAAATTTATATCAAATAATATAAATTTATTTGATGGTTTTATTTGATGGACGAGAACTAAGTCATTTATTTGATGGTTTAATATTAATTTTTTACGTCTTTAATGAAAATTCACACAAATTTTACCAAAATTGATACGGAGTATGAGACAATCTTAGTGGGATTTCTCGAAAAAGAAAAATGGAACAATCTTAATGGGACAGAGTGAGTGGTACGTATATGTAAACCTTACTACCTCCGTAACTTAAAAATCTTCCCATTTCAAAAGTAGGTAGATTAAGAATAGTGAAAGAGGATACGGAGTATGAATTATTGAGGGTATGATGGGAAGATAGTGAAATAATGTGATGGAATGTAGGTTAAATCCAAAAAAGGTAGTTGTAATAGTGTATTATTTTCAAAATTATTAAGGGTATGATGGGAAGATTTAGAAATGAGAAGATTTTTTTGTTACGGACGAAAAAGGAAAGTGGGAAGATTTTTATGTTACGGAGGGAGTACCTTTTATTTTAAATTTATTTGCGATTCTTCATATGATCAACATTCTCCATTTTCCTACAAACTGCCTTTACATAATCAAAATTTACAACATATAAACTCTAATATATTTTCCATATAAACTAATTTCATATTACGTACATCATAATAATAGTTAGGGGAAAAAAGTCAAATAAGCTTTTTACCGTTTCCAATCCATCAATCAAGCCGCCGCAATAAAAAAGTATCATATAGTACTCCTACTTTAAACAATTGGTCAATTTGATTATTAATTAGATTTTGATCTGTGATAGCAGGTTTTTAATATTTAAAAGACTATAATTTGAAGAAATATACACAAAAAAATTTAACATTTTCAGAATATTAAAGTCAATTTTTTTGAATATTTGAAATTATCTTTATATTTTACATCTATTTAAAAGGTTTTATGTTTTAGCTTTAATTTTATCAATATTCCTAATTTAATTTTTTGAAAACAACCTACTATATATACTAGGTCAAAATGACACATCAATTGTATTTCTAAACTAAGCGTACATATATGATGTTTTTTTAGTAGAAGGCCTTATTAAGTGATGAATTGGCTTAAGGTTTGATACTAATTTAGCATTACTCCTAATCTAACTTTTTCCTAAAAGTTTATTTTAAACAAGTTGTTATTCTCTAGATGTACCCGTGCATCGCACTAGCGGTGTTGCGTCTAGCTAGTATTATTTATAAATAATGACATAATATTTATAACCAATATATATATAATATAATATAATATAATATAATATAATATAATATAATATAATATAATATAATATAATATAATATAATATAATATAATATAATATAATATAATATAATATAATATAATATAATATAATATAATATAATATAATATAATATAATATAATATAATATAATATAATGTAATGTAATGTAATGTAATGTAATGTAATGTAATGTAATGTAATGTAATGTAATGTAATGTAATGTAATATAATATAATATAATATAGGGAACTCTTCCGGTAAGGTATACCTTACCGGAGCCGCCGTGCGGCCTCCACGTTTCGAGGGCCTTCCTGGTGGAATTTTTCGATGAAATTTTTTGACCATGTTCTTCATCAAGTCTAGTACATCCATACCCAATTTCAGAAAAAAATTCAATCGGGAAGGCAGTCAAACGATTTTTGGAAGATAACTGCATCCTTTATATACATATAGAACGCAGTTATCTTCCAAAAATCGTTTGACTGTCTTCCCGATTGAATTTTTTTGCTGAAGTTCGGTATGGATGTACTAGACTTGATGAAGAACATCCTCAAAAAATATCATCGAAAAATTCCACCGGGAAGGCCTTCAAAACGTGGAGGCCGCACGGCGGTTCCGGTAAGGTATACCTTACTGGAAGATTTTCCATATTATATATATATATATATATATATATATATATATATATATATTGAGAGAGAGAGACTTCAATTTATATATATAGAGGAACTTTCCCCATTAGAAATAATTTAACACTAATAAAGTTCGATATAATACATAGCAATAACAAAAGTCCGTTTGGTAACACTAAAATGGACTTAGTCGGCTGAATTTTTAAAAAATAATTTAATGAAATTCTAGCCGAAATTGCTAAGCTGATGAATATGCTAAGTTATGAAAAAATCAATTTAAAGTAGTTTTTAATACTCCCTCCGTCCAATTGGTCTTTGTGAAATTTCTCTTTTTGGTTGTCCAACAAAATTTTGTCACTTTCCTATTAAAACAACTAATTTGTGCTTATGCTCATTTCTCTATTTTTTGCACAAAGTTCAACCACACAGTTTTTCTATTCTTATTTATTACTTGCTTTGCACTTGGTAAAGTCCACCAGGACGTAGGTAGTATATATACTATAAAAAAGCTATAAAATAACTAAAATGATCTTTTATCGTAATTTCAGCTAATTTAACTAGCAAATAAAGTAACTAATTACACAATTCAGTGTATGAAAATAAAAGTAACGTGAGTAATAAAAAATACTACGTCCGTCCCAAAATGAGAGTCTCATTTCTTTTGGGCTAGCTCAAATATTAAGGAAGTGGTTGAAAAGATAAAAGTTGTGGTTGAGATTTGTGTAGAAAAAGGTGAGATGATGCCGGCCACATCTTTCTTTCCAAAAAGAGAAATGAGACTATCAATTTGGGATGACCCAGAAAGGAAATATGAGACCATCAAATTGGGACGGAGGGAGTATTGGGTAAGGTGAAAATGAAACCACCAATTTAGAAGATCTAGATGTATTCATTCATTCATTTCAATTCTATTTAAAAAAGCAATTCAATAAATAAAATAAAACGTAATGATAAAAAGAATCAGGTTGGAACGCCAAGCGGGCAACTAAATAAGTTTGTACTCCGTAAATGATTAAATTTAATTGCAGCATGTAGGCCAAATTTTTAATTAGTAAGTAATTAATGTCATAATTAATTCCTTGATCCACCCATGTCTAGAACTAATTACCGAAATATTCTCGCAATTTTAAAATTTGACACATCTTCTGTGAACCTATATATACAAGATAACATTTCCACGGAGATATGTACTTCCAACTATAAGTTTGAGTATTGGCAATTAAGAGGAATTAGTATAAAAATGGAGGGCGCATCGTCATTGCATGTTTCCTTCCCATCTACGCTTGACTTGAAAAAAAGAGATTTGATGGAATTTGATCAGGAAAACATTGTACGAGGATGCACTCCTTTATGCTTAGCAACTAAATTAAGAAAATTAGACGACGATGACACGGACGACGATGAGGACGACGATGACGAAGGCAACCCAAATAATGTTTCTTATTTAAAGGACAACAAACCATCGTTGGATGATGTTTCTTATTTACGGAACGACAAACCTTGGTTGGGCGTACGCATTACTGTTTATCTGATAATGATGTGTTACTTGAATCCTATCATATTACGTAGTACACATGGGAGCACAGAACCACTTATTTAAAAAAAACTACAATTTTTTTTATATTTTATCATACTTAATCCACAAGCTAATATTTAAGATTAATATAATTACTCCTCAACCCAGTTCAACTCATATTTCAGAATCTCTTTCTTACAATACACACATTGCTCATACATAACAATCTGTATGAGTGTTTAATTTGATGTGATTTTAATTTGTAGGTCAAATTACCGGGTGTAAGAGTATATCTGCTTGAAGATCTCGTGACAAAGAATTTTGAAGTATATGATAGACTTGTTGGTGTGAGCAAAATGTCTCTTGATTTTTACGAAAAAAATCATGTAAGTTTCGTTCATTTTCTCTCATAAAATTACATCTTACAAAATGCAACCAATGGCCAAGCTAAGTCATGCTAATGTTTGCTTATTAGATAAGTATTACGAAGTATATCACTAATCATATTTTTCTACTCAATTTGCAGCCGGGAGAGTCTTATAAATTTGACAGCTTGAAGTATGCGGAGAGTAGACCTATTGGTGGGATACAATACAAAATCGCCTTTTTGGCAAAGAACTTGAGGGGAGAAGATGGTGGTCCTTTAGAAACATTTGAAGCCCGAGTAAATATCTTAGGCCAAATCCGCCGCAAGGTGATTGAATGTAATAAGCTAGTGAAGTAGAGTAGCTTGGATATTGAATTATATTCCTCTACCATGTCTTAATTAATGACCATACAGCATATGAAAATTTATCTTTCAATGGATGCTTATTAATAATAATAAAACCATTACTAGCTATTTACTATTGTGTAGTACTCCGTATGTGAGATCAATTTTTCTTATTTAAGTTATATATATTGCCATCACCTTCTAAAGCACTTTTTTTTAAATGATTTTTGACGAGCACTTCGTCGTAGTGCGTCAAAATAATACGGAGTATTCGATACTAGCACTTATACGTAGTATAGGTGAAATAGAGTTCGTATTCACAGGGAAAAGAATAATTCTCTTTTTATGAACTAGTAAATAAAAGGGGTTTTTTGGGATTGAGTGATTTAATTTTAATTAATTAAATACGAAGATGAACAACTGATATGTGATTTAATTCAAAGATAAAAAGGACTTGGCCTTGCTACTTTCCACTTGTTGATATATTTTAGTCGATCATTGTTATATCTATAACTTATCCCCTCTCGAATACTCAATCGAGGAGTATATCCAACTCATCGAGGGTAGTTATTAACAATGACCGTTCATTAATAACCCTTACTATTAATCAAATATAGAACAACGCCGTATACCGATTAATTAAATAGTAGCATTTAATCTCTAAACTCCTTGATGAAATCAATTGAGATTGATAACCTCAACACAACGATTTTGGTTTAACCAACAAAATTAATCCCTCTTAAGTTTATTAATCACGACCGTGCATTAATAAATTAAAGTTACTTACTTGTGAAACCATCAACGATTAACCATCGGTTCGTTGATCGTTTCTAGTAATAATTAATGTTGGAATGTTAACTAATCATCACTTAGCAACATTCCAACATTAATATAGAATGAGATTAAGGGAAGAATTAATAATCAAGAGAAGAAGATAAGAAAATAACTCACAACTTTAATAATCAACAAGCTTCAAGAGCAAAACCAAGAAATGAGAGTTTAGCTGGAAATGCATTTGACTATTCCATACAAACAGGGCAGCCCATAAAACATGCAGTACTCCATCCAGAGAGCATTCTGTATGCTGGAAAATCATTGATTGTCCACATGAACGCAGCTTTCATATTAAAAATTTGATTCCTCGAAACATCGTTTGTAGGAACACCAACCTCCCATAACTGTTTCAACTCTTCGACCGATGACTGCAAGTCCACATCAATTCTTTTTTTGGATTACCAGGACCCGGACACATTAATGATAAAAACATAAAATGATTTTTCATACACATGTCCGGGGGGAAATTATAGGGTGTAATGATAATTGGCCAACATGAGAACTGGCCTCCAAATTGACCGTACGGAGCAAAACCATCAACACATAACCCAACTCTCATGTTGCGTGGCTCTAAAGCGAATTGAGGATAACATCGGTCAAAATGCTTCCACTCTGCAGCATCTGATGGATGACACATTAACCCTTCTTCAGTGTCATGCTCTACATGCCATGTCATGTATTTAGGGGTAGCGCTTGAGACATATAATCTCTGCAATCGTGGTGCTAAAGGAAGATATATCAACCTAGATGCTGCTGATCTTTTGTGAGGTTTTTGTGTCATACCTGATATAGGCTTGTACCTATCCGCATTACAAAACTTACACCGGATCAGTGTTTCGTCGTTCTTCATAGGGAGACCTAACTTACACTGAGACCTAACACTGATCTGGTGTAAGTTTTGTACTATATTCAAAACCGAGTCTGTTTTGTACTATATTCAGGGCATTATAAGTTTTGTACTATATCAGCAGTTTCTGAATTTCTAAACATAAGGTCAGAATATAACATCTCTGAGAGCTGCATGTCCAAAATATTAGACTCAGTTGGTAGTATGTTACTTGCCACATTCCTGAATATGGTATTATTTGAAAAAAAGTGATTCTGAAAAAGTAAAAGTTAATATAATTACTCCTCAACCCAGTTAATATACACGCATTGTTCATACATAATAATCTGTATGTGTTTAATTTGATGTGATTTTGCAGGTCAAATTACCGGGTGTAAGTGTATATTTGCTTCAAGATCTCGCAACAAACAATTTTGCATTATATGATATGATAGACTTGTTGGTCTGAGCAAAATGTCTCTTGATTTTTACGAAAAAAGCCACGTAAGTTTCGTTCATTTTCTCTCAAAAAATTACTACGTACATCTTACAAAATGCAACCAATAACAAGTCATGCCAATGATTGCTTAATTATAAGATAAGTATCACTAATCGTCTAATCATATTTTCCTACTCAATTTGTAGCCGGGAGTCTTATAAATTTGACAGCTTGAAGCATGCAGAGAGTAGACCTGTTGGTGGCACAGAATACAACATCACCTTTTACGCAAAGAACTTGATGGCAGATCATGGTAGTACTTTTGAAACATTTGAAGCTCGAGTAAATACATTAGGCCGAATCCGCCGTGAAGGAATGTAAGCTAGTGATCGAAGTAGGCTAGCTTGGATACTGAATTATATATATTCCTCTACATCTCTTAATTAATGACCATACTGTTTATGGAAATTTATCTTTCAATGGATGCTTATAATAATAAAACCATTACTAGCTACTCCCTCCGTTCCCAAAAATACTTCCCACTTTCCTTTTTGGGCCGTCCCAAAAATTCTTCTCACTTTCCCTTTGTGGACAATTTGTGTGGCTCACATTCATTTTACCTTTTTCTCACACAACCACAACCACACATTTCCACTTTATTCCACTTTCTTAATAGGCGTGCCAAGTCAAACGGGGAAGAATTTTTAGGAACGGAGGTACTCCGTAGTATTTACTATTGTGTAGTACTTCGTTTGTGAGATCAATTTTTCTTATTTAAGTTATATATATCTCTGTCACCTTCTAAATAGTTGATAAACACCCATAGGGCCATATAGAAGATTATCAATACTGCCTCTATCCCGAAGATGTTTGCAATTTTGACTTTTCTTAGTCAACGCTAGCAAATTTTAAGCAATGATTTTAACTACAGTACTATATATTTGTATATAACTTATAAATTTTATACTTTTATTAAAATATTTTGAATAAGGAACAATTTGATAGATATAATTTTTCATATTTAAAATAAATTCGTATTAAAAAATTTCATTGGTCAAAATTGATTGACCATGTACTCCATCAACTATTAACCAAAAAAGTTCAATCTGAGGAACCTTCTGGGGAGGGAGTATCAAATTGCAATAATAAAAGTACAAGTTTCAAATATACCAATATCAAAATCTAGGAGGGAGGAGTTAGGAGTCGTACTTAGCTGGCTACTATTTCTCTGATGGATGGAGTAGTAAAAACAACATACCCATAACTTTAACCGGGTACCACATTTGGCTTGTTTCGTTTATCAAATTGATGCTGCTCTATTCTAATTCCTACTTTTACATGCATGAAGTATTGATCGCTTATTGAACCTAACTAATACGGAGTATATCAAAGTTGTTCTTAATATATTCACACTTCCCTCATTCTGCTTTACTCATTTTTGTGAGAAATACTCTTTCATATTGCGGCAAGCTCTAATAGAGCACTAAAAGAGGTGTTCATTGAAATGAAAAAAAAAAAACATACCTAGTATAACATTTGTGGAAAAAATTAAAAAATCAAATATTATTGCAAATCAAATAATATTATTTGGATTCATCATATGAGCCTAAGTGTTGACATGTGTAGTCCATTACAAAATTTTATTTCCATTGTGCCAAATAATCTATTGTTTGGTGTGTGAGGTACTTAGTGTGGACGCAACACCCAAACACCACGCTAGAGCCCTCCATGTAGCGCCTACCATGTCTGCTGCACCGCTATTCCGCTATAGCGCGCTATAGCGCGCTATAGCGCCACTATTGACAGCACTGGCATATACATTTTATCTTTAATAACATTGATCTTTGAAATAAAAAAAATGATAGTGTCGCAGGTTGTGAAGAAAATATATATTTCACTCTTGAATCCCAGTCACATGCCTTATCCGGTATTGAACCCCTCATAGTTCTTGGGTGATACAAGGATGATCTTGATGATGAGGATGACCTTGATGATGAGGATGGTCTTGATGACGAGAATGATTTTGATGATGAGGATGATCTTGATGACGAGGACGATCTTGATTAAGGACATGATAATCAGTCTAAACAAAGTTGTGCAACTCTTTGGAGTTTGGATATTGGCGTAATACTTACTATTATTTTACTCTAAGCTATCTAGCTTATTCCCTTCACGACTTAATTAGAAAAGCACTACGGTAAAACCTATTTGGATTTGATAGGTCTTTGGGTATACTATATATACTTCCTCAGTAACTTAAAAATCTTCCCATTTCAAAAGTAGGTAGATTGAGAATATGAATTATTGAGGGTATGATGGGAAGATAATGGAATAATGTGATGGAATTTAGGATAAATCCAAAAAAGTAGTTGTAATAGCGTATTATTTTAAGAATTATTGAGGGTATGATGTGAAGATTTAGAAATGAGAAGATTTTTTTGTTACGGACGAAAAAGGAAAGTTGGAAGATTTTTTTGTTACGGAGGGAGTAAAAAGTAGTGGTAGCTATTTTAATAGGGCTGCATTAATTACTGATGTGAAAGTATTATCTCTCGTACTTGTATTAAAAATGCTCTGCACTGTCCTCTTCAATATCATCTCATTCTCTTTTTCTTGTTTCCCTATATATGAGCATGTCTTCTTCAACGCTTAACTATAGGACAAAAATACATACACCTATGTATGCTTAAAATGTATATACACCTTTATTAACTAACTCAATGTATAAATAAAAATGATGGCATGCACTATTTTTCACTAGTTAAACTCTTGCTATAATTTATTAAACGTACACCAATTTATTAAACTAACTCAATACACACTCTTCACTTCCACGTCAGAATCCTTGTAATCCGAAGCCATGATCATATCGTTTATTCCCTGCCATAAGTGGATCATGCGTTTTTTCATTACATACAAAATATGAAGCACGGAATACGAGAATTTTAACACAACATACCAAAAAACATAGGAACACACATAAGGCAAAG